TTTGATATTATTTGTAGATCAAATTCTACTCAGCACTCTTGAGAAATGAACCTGAACATCTGCAAATAATATCCAAACCGACACAAAATAATGTAATGCTTTGATTGGATGGTYATGTGGTTCWTTWACGTACAACTTGAGTTGTGAAGAGGTAGGGAGTTGAGTGCTTGCCAGAACACTTTTGAGTGAGCGAGTGTGCAATTTTATCACACACACTTCGAATTATTGTTCATTCATATTGATATTTGCACTCAAATCAGTGTTACAGCACGTACAATAGTAACGTCATAACMAATAGGAGTCAGACTTACCTTGAAGCTGCGTTTTCGTTTGGGGACATTCTGCTCTGGGTGGAAGAGAATGATGTACACCTTAGGCATGTAGAGCATTCCCAGAGAAACAGAGGCCGACAGACTCAGAGAGATTGTCAATGTGGTGGTTTGGATATACATCTGAAACACACACAGAGAGTAATGTATGACATTTTGTCACAGATAGTGCTGTAAAGGAAAAGCCTAAGAGGGAAGTTGATTTAATAAAACAAATGATGATACTAGGAGGTTATCCAAAATGACAAAAACACCAAATACTATAAGTTTATGGCATGAGATCATAAAAACTGAGAAGCTACAGATGACCTGTCTTGTTGCCAGGTAGTGGAGATGTTTATCTCCATCAATTCTGCCAAGAAAGTTAGAAACGAGATCYACAAACCCACTGCACTGGTCTACAATAAGTTTCATGGAGTAGTTTGGAGGAGGACACATATGACACAAAAATTTCTGGTTTAGAAGAAAGTGGTGGTAGCYGAAAGAGAACTAATGCATCAAATGATGCTGTTTATAACTACACTAAAAGAGGAGCACAGTAAGGCTGCATTGCTAATTCAGCAGTATTATTTTATATTAGGTCTCAATTAAAAAAACAAGATGTGATCATGATGAATGCAGAACTAAAAGCAAACTGGCTCACAAATATAAGGAAGTAGCTGGGAAGAGTTATTTTTGATAACGGCAATAATGGTAAACTTTAAAACTGATTAGTTAAAAAAATGAGTATGAGCGGAACTAACTTATCAGGAACAAAAAACAGGTGGCTACAAATCCCCAGCTTATTGGTCTGATTGTTGATGACCATTTGGTAAGTCATCCAAAGTGACAAAAATAATACATACATAAGAATTAAGCCATCTAAAAATCAAAAATCCCACATACAAGCAAGTCATCCAAAATGAAAAAAGATACCTTATAATAAAATAATTAAAAAAAAAAACACTAGGCAAATTTCAGAAACTAATTAATAGATGCACAACATTACTGATTTCTTTTTGGACTCAACCCTAACTAAGATGGTGCCACAGCCAACTA